AACTTTGAAAATTTCACCCTATTTGGGTACTCAATTCCCAAGTTACTTGTATACATCTATTTTAATAATAAAGAATAGCAAAATTCAGCTGCCCACCACTGATCATTTATCGTTCTACGAACTGATGAATACCCATTATAAAATACAATGAAACATGGACATTTTCCCACCTCCATGAATGAACGAAAACTTGCAAAGGAAAGCAGACAAAAATTGCCATCAATATTTCAGGGGGAAAAAAAAGAGTTCACTTGTTCCTCATATTCAAACATCTGACAGTAAAATTAATGTTTCACTTTTAGTCTTTACTGAAATGATTAAAATTCGATTTGTATTTGAATGCCTGTGTGTAGTCTGTAATTCTCACTCAGCTCAATAGCTTTCAATGGCATTCCAGGGACAGCTACAAAAATAGGTTCTTTTAGTAACACATGCACAACTCTAGCATTGATCAACTTTATCCTTCTTTTTTTCAGTTGAGTGGAAGAGCATTCTCTTTTTGAGACATACAAGTCTTTCATTTGAAGATCAAATTGGCTTTTTAAGAAACAAAAATTGTTAATCCAGGTCACTTTCTTTTTTACTCGATCACCCTTTCCAGTTACATGTTTACAGATAATTAATTTATGCTGACCCATGTACATGTACGTACATCATGTACCATTTTATATACACATGTGTATTTTCCAAGAACTTATGAACAGCCAATTATGGAAGCATTTGCGTGGTACATGTTCACTTACAAAAGTTACATGTAAATGTAATACACTTTGACAGGTTGGTGTTTTCCTGTACAATGTATACATGTACATGTACATACGTGTATGTATGTTTTACCAGTACATGAAGGGGGCCACCTGTTTACCACATACACTGTACTGGGTCTACATGTCATAGTTATGGCATGTATGATGACCTTGTACCTGACAATTATGGTAAAACAGTTGAAAACTTCCCCTCAGTACCGCTGCTAATGCACCCAACCACACTGCAGGGGACCCAATTTCACAGAGCTACTTAAGCACAAAATTTGCTTAAGCACGAAAAAACATTGCTTAGTAAAATTAGCTTACCAGCCAAATCTCCAAGTGATGTACATTGTTTGTGACTGGTATTTAGCTGTTGTTTACTTAGCATATCAATCGCATGGAGTTTTGGCTGGTAACATGATTTTATTAAACAAGACGTTGTTGTGCTTAAGCAAATTTTAAGCAGCTTCCATGAAATTGGCCCCTGGTCTGGTCTACCATGGGCCTACATGTACGTACTGACGTACTGTACATGTACATGTACAGGTTTGTTGTACATGTCTTTTATTATTTTCTGTGGACTTTGTACATGGGAACCATGGCTTTTACAAAGACCTGCTTCTACCATAGTGAGCTCCAACTCTCCACCAGTTGACATTGTCTCCAATATTTACATGCCAGCACTATCCTGTTTAGTTTTGTGGTTGTACTGTGTACATGTATGGAGGTTCAAAAGTGAAGTACTGGCATCTGCTTTTCTGCTCATTAGATGAAAGCAGATTTAACATTTTTGTAAAATGCATTTCTACTTTTCTGCTGTACCGGTACATGTACATATTCAATCAGCTTTTCCAGTAGATCTAAAGCCAAAAAGCAGATGTCCGTTTTTGATTTGCTACTGTAGGATAGAAAGTCAAATTTGCCTTTCTGGTAGCAGAAAAGCAGAACAATAGAAAAATACATTTTACAAAAACATTCAATATGCGTTTCTTCGATTCTGTCTAGCAGAAAAGCTGAGGTCCACTTTTGAACCTCCATAAATGTGACAAGAAGTACTCTTTTGTGAGTTTGCATGGTCCTGAAAAGAACCATTTCGATGCGATGCGATGCCGTGCGATGTAATCATTTGACACACTCTTAATAAGTGGTACCAGCATTTATACACGAATCGCAATAAATTGATTCATTTGTAGGGTATAACATCTGAAAGTCTGTATCCGGATTACTTGTGGTTCTTAAACTCTTGAAATGGTCTGAAATAAATTGAAATTCAGATGATTTCATTTATTACAAATTTGATTGCTGCAAATTTTTTTTAAAACATTGACATACATACATGAACCCTAAACCCCTTATAGTTCAATAGGACTACCCTGCTAAATCCAACAGAGTCTGAATGTTTCCTGCTTAATCCAACACAATCCAACACAATCCAACATGCCAAGTTGCTGGGTACCTGGAAATATAAAATTACTGGCTTGCTCAATCCAACAGAATCCAACTGAGCCTTATATTTCTGTTGCCTGCTGAATCCAAAAGAATGTTACACAATCCAACTGTCCGTATTATTGGTTTAACTGCTGAGTCCAACAGAGTCCAACTTGGTTTTATTTACCAGCATCCAACAGAATCTGAGTATGAATGTTTTCAGTTGCTTGCTGAATCCAATAGATTTCAACAGGAATATGTACATGTACATGTACCTGTACACAAGGTCTTTATTGCTCAATCCAACAGGATCCACGGAAATGTGACATACACTCAACCAAAACAGAAAGTCCTGCTTTAATAATACTTTTTTTGTCTTTACTCAAAAACTACTGGGCACAGCTTGCTCAATTTACGACTGATCAGTACAGAAATTCCTTAGCAATCCAGCCATACTCTTTGTTTGGCCCAAAACAGTGATAATGTGTACACAATGACGCAATTTATGACAAATGATACCGAAACAAAAGTTGCTTTTTTGTATACGTGCAAGGTGAGTGTGAACCACAACTTGCACGTATACAAAAGTGTAACTGTTTTCGGTACCATTTGTAATAAATTGCATAAATTTGTACACATTATCAAATATTTGAGCAAGAACTGCTCAGTAGTGTTTCAGTTATACAGAAAAGTATTGAAAGGGGTGGGGGAGACTTTCTTTTTTGATTGAGTGTAGTTGGATCCTGGTGGATTGAGCAGGTTAACATCTTATCCTGCTCTGACCATGATTGCTTATCCTCAACATCAGGAAATGAGTGTATGCATGCCGCGCATTTTCTGGATTCTGTTTTCGCAATCCTGATGCCTCTGAAGTACTTTTTATAGGTCACGCATGCGAACATGAGGCACAGCCATTAAACTAAAAAATCTTTCATAGATGCGACCTGTCGTATAAGAATAAGGCCCACCTTTGACTTTTCAAGTTATATCATGTTAAAGCGCAAATCATTGGCTTTCCAATGATACCAAATTTATTTCTGTACCTTAATTTGTTCCAAAGTTACGCTGCAGGAACTACAACAGTGTCCCGTTGAACTTCGCCGGCCTCATTTTGAGAAAAACGGCTTTGAAAAAAATTACGCATTGCGCTGCCAACAGCAGTGAAAAAGTCTTGCTGGGATTTTTTTCCCAGCAAAAATGCTTAGCGTGAATCTTGGATACCTTAGCTACTTAAAAATACCAAATACTCAAAATGGATTTTGATATGCTTTTTCAAATACATGTACATCCGATTTCAGGTGTTGATTTACTCAAAACACGGTTAATTTGGGGACATTCCTCATTTTGCCAGAGTACGTCACAAATTGCATTAATTTTCAATAACATTTGAAGCTGAGTTTCCACCAGTTCTCTCAGAACCACATGTGTTCATTAGAGAGATTTTCTTTCAGGCAGAATAACTGAGTGCAAACTCGATACCCTTATTGCATTAATTTTGTTGTGCGCTCACAAGCTTGATCCTGCTAATAAGAGTAACTTTCACTGACGCCAGGAAAACTGCTTTTCGCATTTTGATTAAGTACCTCGGTAATCATTTAGACTACATGTACTTGTAGCTAGTGTCTGCCATCTTTCAAACACTAGTTAATGTCGTGACGCGTACGGAGTTTGATCCATCAGCACTAAATTTTAATCAAAAAAATTTGTAGAGCGCAGATAAAATATGGCCATTATTTCAGATACAGGTAACGGTACATGCTATACATGTATCTGTATACATACATGTTCATGTGGTGTTCTGAACAATATGTTTTCCTAGTTTTACAATTTACATGTGCACAGAATTTATTGTCATGACTGTGCAAGACACCATTGGCACAATTTCATTGGTATGGGGGGGAGGGGGACAAAGCCTATATGACTTTTTATTATAATCTCCATCCTAGTGTCTTGTGGATGTTTTGACTCATTGCATATATAATCCAGCGTAGCGTTCAGCCATTTATGCAAATGTCATGGTCAAAGTTGCGATCCATGGTTTCCAAAAAATCTTTTTTGAATGTGAAGCAAATGTACTCATTTGCACTCATTCAGGGACGTTGAATTTCCATGTTCATAATGTGAAATACAAATTGCTCTGTTTGATTGAGCTGTCTCAGTTGTTTGATTTTGTCCAAAATAAAATTGTGTGATTTTACAGTTATGTTTCCTGTGCTATTTTCGAGTTTCATCCAAAAAACATAGATTCCTTTTCTAACATTGCCTCAACCTGATGAAGTTTTAGCTCAGTAAATGCTGTACATAGTATATTCCGAGAAAACAATATTCTAGGATCTCGATTTCAATTCAAAAGTTGCCAAGTCGATGTTTTGAATTGCGCCGGAATTCAGCGTCTGGGACACGTTCTCATTTTTGCCGCTTGCATTTACGCGATGTCATGCACTGAACCGACAAATTGTAGCAACCGCACGCGGGCACGCGCATGTGTGTCATGTCAACGCTTGCATGCACCCATTCACGGCTTCTCCAAATTAGGAAAAAACTACTAACGGAATTAAAAACAAACTTCTAACGGAAATTTCCAGAAACTTAAACGTCTTTAGACGCATCTTTGGCAATAACCTTCTTTGATTGTTTTCTTCAAAATGACAGCATGCCAGAAAGAATAATTTCACAGGCAGTTTAGTGCCATTACTATCTTTAAACCAAGTAAGCTTTTCATCAATAATTTTGTCAGTTACTTTTTAGATAGCTGAAAATAAAATATTCTACCTTTAAGGCTAACTCGTACATAAACCTATTAATCATTTGTGTATCTTACAGAACCCCCGGATGCAGCCCATGGCCTGTTTTGCTACTGCCCCAACTTGTGGGACGTAACTTGCAAATGGGAGCTGGGCAAAGATACGAATCTCAACACAACCTACATGCTGCAGTACAGGTACTACCATATCCAGTAAGACACTTCAGTAATCATCATTTTTTGTTTTATCTACTTGCTACCATTTATTGAGCACATGTGTAGACAATAAAACTGACCTTTGGCTATAGCCCTTTCTACAAACACAGTTTTAGAGAGCTGTGCATGTTTTTTCTTGTATCTAAATAAAGACGGGTCTTTAATGAAGAAAGTTGTGCCGTGTGTTGCACTCATGTCTGTATTATGTGTACATATAAATGTTGGCATTTCCAGTTCATGAAAGCAGTGTCCATGACAGAGCCAGTTAACCATTAAATCTAAGTAATGATGAAGAGAAATGATCCAAAATTCCTAGTCTGTAATCTCCTTGACCATTACTAGATGCTGGATGTATATTTTCATGTGCAAAAGCCTCCAAACAGTATAGTTCTTTTCATGCGGTGTACATCAGGCATGCAACTTTTCCTCGGATCAGCTGATTTCCTCTTTTTTTACTTCCCATGTGTGCCATTGAGAATAGAAAAACACTGTGCAAAGTCTTGGAAAGATTTGAATTTCCTCTTTTTTTGTGAATACCCAGTTGCATGCCTGGTACATGTATCCTACAGAAAATTAAAATTCCAGTAGGGGAGCATGTTCATGAGTACGAGTATGAGTACTTTGATACGGTATGAGTATGAGTAGTTTGCTACGGTATGAGTATGAATACTTTGCTACCGTATAAGTTTGAGTGCTGGTATCTTTTTTTATGTGAGTATGAGTATGGGTACATTCTTGTGAGTGTGAGTTCTGCAATACTGCAATTAATCATTAGCTCTTCGGCACTATTGTGAAGTAAGGTTGAGATCCACGCCATAAGGCTTCAACTAAGTCAGGCAGAATTATTGAAACCTAGACATTTCTGATCATTTGCCATTCCTTGTTTTTCTAACAGTGAAGGCAGCGACTTCGAGGAAGGCAGTTGTTCTTGCTCCGACGAACAGACGTGCACAATGTCGGGATCCATTCATGGGCCAATACAGCTTCGAGTCTTATCAAGTAACAAGTTAGGCCATGCTATCTCCACAGAACTGGCCTTCGACTATGAATCTGAAAGTAAGTACCTGACCTGGTGTAGGAACAGCAGGGATGTACATGTAGTCGAGTCCATCACAAGTCCATCACAAGTCCATCACAAGGCCATCACAAGTCCATCACAAGTCCGTCACAAGTCCATCACAAGTCCATCACAAGTCCATCGCAAGTCCATTGCAAGTCCATCACAAATCCATCACAAGTCATCACAAGTCCATCACAAGTCCATCACAAGTCCATCTTAAGTCCATCACAAGTCCATCACAAGTCCATCACAAGTCCATTGCAAGTCCATTGCAAGTCCATCACAAATCCATCACAAGTCATCACAAGTCCATCACAAGTCCGTCACAAGTCCATCTTAAGTCCATCACAAGTCCATCACAAGTCCATCACAAGTCCATCGCAAGTCCATTGCAAGTCCATCACAAATCCATCACAAGTCCATCACAAGTCATTCACTAGTCCATCACAAGTCCATCACAAGTCCATCACAAGTCATCACAAGTCCATCACAAGTCCGTCACAAGTCCATCTTAAGTCCATCACAAGTCCATCACAAGTCCATCACAAGTCCATTGCAAGTCCATCACAAATCCATCACAAGTCCATCACAAGTCATTCACTAGTCCGTCACAAGTCCATAACAAGTCCATCACAAGTTCATCACAAGTCCATCACAAATCCATCACAAGTCCATCACAAGTCATTCACTAGTCCATCACAAGTCCATCACAAGTCCATCACAAGTCCATTGCAAGTCCATTGCAAGTCCATCACAAATCCATCACAAGTCATCACAAGTCCATCACAAGTCCGTCACAAGTCCATCTTAAGTCCATCACAAGTCCATCACAAGTCCATCGCAAGTCCATTGCAAGTCCATCACAAGTCCATCACAAATCCATCACAAGTCCATCACAAGTCATTCACTAGTCCATCACAAGTCCATAACAAGTCCATCACAAGTTCATCACAAGTCCATCACAAGTCCATCACAAGTCCATTACAAGCCCATCACAAGTCCATCACAAGTCCATCACAAGTCCATCACAAGTCCATCACAAGTCCATCGCAAGTCCATTGCAAGTCCATCACAAATCCATCACAAGTCCATCACAAGTCCATCACAAGTCCATCACAATTCCATCACAAGTCCATCGCAAGTCCATTGCAAGTCCATCACAAATCCATCACAAGTCCATCACAAGTCATTCACTAGTCCATCACAAGTCCATAACAAGTCCATCACAAGTTCATCACAAGTCCATCACAAGTCCATTACAAGCCCATCACAAGTCCATTACAAGCCCATCACAAGTCCATCACAAGTCCATCTTAAGTCCATCACAAGTCCATCACAAGTTCATCACAAGTCCATCACAAGTCCATCACAAGTCCATCGCAAGTCCATTGCAAGTCCATCACAAATCCATCACAAGTCCATCACAAGTCATTCACTAGTCCATCACAAGTCCATCACAAGTCCATCACAAGTCATCACAAATCCATCACAAGTCCATCACAAATCCATAACAAGTCCATCACAAGTTCATCACAAGTCCATAACAAGTCCATTACAAGCCCATCACAAGTCCATCACAAGTCCATCTTAAGTCCATCACAAGTCCATCACAAGTCCATCACAAGTCCATCACAAGTCCATCACAAGTCCATCGCAAGTCCATTGCAAGTCCATCACAAATCCATCACAAGTCCATCACAAGTCATTCACTAGTCCATCACAAGTCCATCACAAGTCCATCACAAGTCATCACAAGTCCATCACAAGTCCGTCACAAGTCCATCTTAAGTCCATCACAAGTCCATCACAAGTCCATCACAAGTCCATTGCAAGTCCATCACAAATCCATCACAAGTCCATCACAAGTCATTCACTAGTCCGTCACAAGTCCATAACAAGTCCATCACAAGATCATCACAAGTCCATCACAAATCCATCACAAGTCCATCACAAGTCATTCACTAGTCCATCACAAGTCCATAACAAGTCCATCACAAGTCCATCACAAGTCCATCACAAGTCCATCTTAAGTCCATCACAAGTCCATCACAAGTCCATCACAAGTCCATTGCAAGTCCATTGCAAGTCCATCACAAATCCATCACAAGTCATCACAAGTCCATCACAAGTCCGTCACAAGTCCATCTTAAGTCCATCACAAGTCCATCACAAGTCCATCACAAGTCCATCGCAAGTCCATTGCAAGTCCATCACAAATCCATCACAAGTCCATCACAAGTCATTCACTAGTCCATCACAAGTCCATCACAAGTCCATCACAAGTCATCACAAGTCCATCACAAGTCCGTCACAAGTCCATCTTAAGTCCATCACAAGTCCATCACAAGTCCATCACAAGTCCATTGCAAGTCCATCACAAATCCATCACAAGTCCATCACAAGTCATTCACTAGTCCGTCACAAGTCCATAACAAGTCCATCACAAGTTCATCACAAGTCCATCACAAATCCATCACAAGTCCATCACAAGTCATTCACTAGTCCATCACAAGTCCATCACAAGTCCATCACAAGTCCATTGCAAGTCCATTGCAAGTCCATCACAAATCCATCACAAGTCATCACAAGTCCATCACAAGTCCGTCACAAGTCCATCTTAAGTCCATCACAAGTCCATCACAAGTCCATCGCAAGTCCATTGCAAGTCCATCACAAGTCCATCACAAATCCATCACAAGTCCATCACAAGTCATTCACTAGTCCATCACAAGTCCATAACAAGTCCATCACAAGTTCATCACAAGTCCATCACAAGTCCATCACAAGTCCATTACAAGCCCATCACAAGTCCATCACAAGTCCATCACAAGTCCATCACAAGTCCATCACAAGTCCATCGCAAGTCCATTGCAAGTCCATCACAAATCCATCACAAGTCCATCACAAGTCCATCACAAGTCCATCACAATTCCATCACAAGTCCATCGCAAGTCCATTGCAAGTCCATCACAAATCCATCACAAGTCCATCACAAGTCATTCACTAGTCCATCACAAGTCCATAACAAGTCCATCACAAGTTCATCACAAGTCCATCACAAGTCCATTACAAGCCCATCACAAGTCCATTACAAGCCCATCACAAGTCCATCACAAGTCCATCTTAAGTCCATCACAAGTCCATCACAAGTTCATCACAAGTCCATCACAAGTCCATCACAAGTCCATCGCAAGTCCATTGCAAGTCCATCACAAATCCATCACAAGTCCATCACAAGTCATTCACTAGTCCATCACAAGTCCATCACAAGTCCATCACAAGTCATCACAAATCCATCACAAGTCCATCACAAATCCATAACAAGTCCATCACAAGTTCATCACAAGTCCATCACAAGTCCATTACAAGCCCATCACAAGTCCATCACAAGTCCATCTTAAGTCCATCACAAGTCCATCACAAGTCCATCACAAGTCCATCACAAGTCCATCACAAGTCCATCGCAAGTCCATTGCAAGTCCATCACAAATCCATCACAAGTCCATCACAAGTCATTCACTAGTCCATCACAAGTCCATCACAAGTCCATCACAAGTCATCACAAGTCCATCACAAGTCCGTCACAAGTCCATCTTAAGTCCATCACAAGTCCATCACAAGTCCATCACAAGTCCATTGCAAGTCCATCACAAATCCATCACAAGTCCATCACAAGTCATTCACTAGTCCGTCACAAGTCCATAACAAGTCCATCACAAGATCATCACAAGTCCATCACAAATCCATCACAAGTCCATCACAAGTCATTCACTAGTCCATCACAAGTCCATAACAAGTCCATCACAAGTTCATCACAAGTCCATCACAAGTCCATCACAAGTCCATTGCAAGTCCATTGCAAGTCCATCACAAATCCATCACAAGTCATCACAAGTCCATCACAAGTCCGTCACAAGTCCATCTTAAGTCCATCACAAGTCCATCACAAGTCCATCGCAAGTCCATTGCAAGTCCATCACAAGTCCATCACAAATCCATCACAAGTCCATCACAAGTCATTCACTAGTCCATCACAAGTCCATCACAAGTCCATCACAAGTCCATCACAAGTCCATCGCAAGTCCATTGCAAGTCCATCACAAATCCATCACAAGTCCATCACAAGTCATTCACTAGTCCATCACAAGTCCATCACAAGTCCATCACAAGTCCATCACAAGTCATCACAAGTCCATCACAAGTCCGTCACAAGTCCATCTTAAGTCCATCACAAGTCCATCACAAGTCCATCACAAGTCCATTGCAAGTCCATCACAAATCCATCACAAGTCCATCACAAGTCATTCACTAGTCCATCACAAGTCCATAACAAGTCCATCACAAGTTCATCACAAGTCCATCACAAATCCATCACAAGTCCATCACAAGTCATTCACTAGTCCATCACAAGTCCATAACAAGTCCATCACAAGTTCATCACAAGTCCATCACAAGTCCATCACAAGTCCATTGCAAGTCCATTGCAAGTCCATCACAAATCCATCACAAGTCATCACAAGTCCATCACAAGTCCGTCACAAGTCCATCTTAAGTCCATCACAAGTCCATCACAAGTCCATCGCAAGTCCATTGCAAGTCCATCACAAGTCCATCACAAATCCATCACAAGTCCATCACAAGTCATTCACTAGTCCATCACAAGTCCATAACAAGTCCATCACAAGTTCATCACAAGTCCATCACAAGTCCATCACAAGTCCATTACAAGCCCATCACAAGTCCATCACAAGTCCATCACAAGTCCATCACAAGTCCATCACAAGTCCATCGCAAGTCCATTGCAAGTCCATCACAAATCCATCACAAGTCCATCACAAGTCCATCACAAGTCCATCACAATTCCATCACAAGTCCATCGCAAGTCCATTGCAAGTCCATCACAAATCCATCACAAGTCCATCACAAGTCATTCACTAGTCCATCACAAGTCCATAACAAGTCCATCACAAGTTCATCACAAGTCCATCACAAGTCCATTACAAGCCCATCACAAGTCCATTACAAGCCCATCACAAGTCCATCACAAGTCCATCTTAAGTCCATCACAAGTCCATCACAAGTTCATCACAAGTCCATCACAAGTCCATCACAAGTCCATCGCAAGTCCATTGCAAGTCCATCACAAATCCATCACAAGTCCATCACAAGTCATTCACTAGTCCATCACAAGTCCATCACAAGTCCATCACAAGTCATCACAAATCCATCACAAGTCCATCACAAATCCATAACAAGTCCATCACAAGTTCATCACAAGTCCATAACAAGTCCATTACAAGCCCATCACAAGTCCATCACAAGTCCATCTTAAGTCCATCACAAGTCCATCACAAGTCCATCACAAGTCCATCACAAGTCCATCACAAGTCCATCGCAAGTCCATTGCAAGTCCATCACAAATCCATCACAAGTCCATCACAAGTCATTCACTAGTCCATCACAAGTCCATCACAAGTCCATCACAAGTCATCACAAGTCCATCACAAGTCCGTCACAAGTCCATCTTAAGTCCATCACAAGTCCATCACAAGTCCATCACAAGTCCATTGCAAGTCCATCACAAATCCATCACAAGTCCATCACAAGTCATTCACTAGTCCGTCACAAGTCCATAACAAGTCCATCACAAGATCATCACAAGTCCATCACAAATCCATCACAAGTCCATCACAAGTCATTCACTAGTCCATCACAAGTCCATAACAAGTCCATCACAAGTCCATCACAAGTCCATCACAAGTCCATCTTAAGTCCATCACAAGTCCATCACAAGTCCATCACAAGTCCATTGCAAGTCCATTGCAAGTCCATCACAAATCCATCACAAGTCATCACAAGTCCATCACAAGTCCGTCACAAGTCCATCTTAAGTCCATCACAAGTCCATCACAAGTCCATCACAAGTCCATCGCAAGTCCATTGCAAGTCCATCACAAATCCATCACAAGTCCATCACAAGTCATTCACTAGTCCATCACAAGTCCATCACAAGTCCATCACAAGTCATCACAAGTCCATCACAAGTCCGTCACAAGTCCATCTTAAGTCCATCACAAGTCCATCACAAGTCCATCACAAGTCCATTGCAAGTCCATCACAAATCCATCACAAGTCCATCACAAGTCATTCACTAGTCCGTCACAAGTCCATAACAAGTCCATCACAAGTTCATCACAAGTCCATCACAAATCCATCACAAGTCCATCACAAGTCATTCACTAGTCCATCACAAGTCCATCACAAGTCCATCACAAGTCCATTGCAAGTCCATTGCAAGTCCATCACAAATCCATCACAAGTCATCACAAGTCCATCACAAGTCCGTCACAAGTCCATCTTAAGTCCATCACAAGTCCATCACAAGTCCATCGCAAGTCCATTGCAAGTCCATCACAAGTCCATCACAAATCCATCACAAGTCCATCACAAGTCATTCACTAGTCCATCACAAGTCCATAACAAGTCCATCACAAGTTCATCACAAGTCCATCACAAGTCCATCACAAGTCCATTACAAGCCCATCACAAGTCCATCACAAGTCCATCACAAGTCCATCACAAGTCCATCACAAGTCCATCGCAAGTCCATTGCAAGTCCATCACAAATCCATCACAAGTCCATCACAAGTCCATCACAAGTCCATCACAATTCCATCACAAGTCCATCGCAAGTCCATTGCAAGTCCATCACAAATCCATCACAAGTCCATCACAAGTCATTCACTAGTCCATCACAAGTCCATAACAAGTCCATCACAAGTTCATCACAAGTCCATCACAAGTCCATTACAAGCCCATCACAAGTCCATTACAAGCCCATCACAAGTCCATCACAAGTCCATCTTAAGTCCATCACAAGTCCATCACAAGTTCATCACAAGTCCATCACAAGTCCATCACAAGTCCATCGCAAGTCCATTGCAAGTCCATCACAAATCCATCACAAGTCCATCACAAGTCATTCACTAGTCCATCACAAGTCCATCACAAGTCCATCACAAGTCATCACAAATCCATCACAAGTCCATCACAAATCCATAACAAGTCCATCACAAGTTCATCACAAGTCCATCACAAGTCCATTACAAGCCCATCACAAGTCCATCACAAGTCCATCTTAAGTCCATCACAAGTCCATCACAAGTCCATCACAAGTCCATCACAAGTCCATCACAAGTCCATCGCAAGTCCATTGCAAGTCCATCACAAATCCATCACAAGTCCATCACAAGTCATTCACTAGTCCATCACAAGTCCATCACAAGTCCATCACAAGTCATCACAAGTCCATCACAAGTCCGTCACAAGTCCATCTTAAGTCCATCACAAGTCCATCACAAGTCCATCACAAGTCCATTGCAAGTCCATCACAAATCCATCACAAGTCCATCACAAGTCATTCACTAGTCCGTCACAAGTCCATAACAAGTCCATCACAAGATCATCACAAGTCCATCACAAATCCATCACAAGTCCATCACAAGTCATTCACTAGTCCATCACAAGTCCATAACAAGTCCATCACAAGTTCATCACAAGTCCATCACAAGTCCATCACAAGTCCATTACAAGTCCATCACAAGTCCATCACAAGTCCATCACAAGTCCATCACAAGTCCATCGCAAGTCCATTGCAAGTCCATCACAAATCCATCACAAGTCCATCACAAGTCATTCACTAGTCCATCACAAGTCCATCACAAGTCCATCACAAGTCCATCACAAGTCATCACAAGTCCATCACAAGTCCGTCACAAGTCCATCTTAAGTCCATCACAAGTCCATCACAAGTCCATCACAAGTCCATTGCAAGTCCATCACAAATCCATCACAAGTCCATCACAAGTCATTCACTAGTCCATCACAAGTCCATAACAAGTCCATCACAAGTTCATCACAAGTCCATCACAAATCCATCACAAGTCCATCACAAGTCATTCACTAGTCCATCACAAGTCCATAACAAGTCCATCACAAGTTCATCACAAGTCCATCACAAGTCCATCACAAGTCCATCACAAGCCCATCACAAGTCCATCACAAGTCCATCTTAAGTCCATCACAAGTCCATCACAAGTCCATCACAAGTCCATCACAAGTCCATCACAAGTCCATCGCAAGTCCATTGCAAGTCCATCACAAGTCCATCACAAGTCCATCACAAGTCCGTCACAAGTCCATCTTAAGTCCATCACAAGTCCATCACAAGTCCATCACAAGTCCATTGCAAGTCCATCACAAATCCATCACAAGTCCATCACAAGTCATTCACTAGTCCATCACAAGTCCATAACAAGTCCATCACAAGTTCATCACAAGTCCATCACAAATCCATCACAAGTCCATCACAAGTCATTCACTAGTCCATCACAAGTCCATAACAAGTCCATCACAAGTTCATCACAAGTCCATCACAAGTCCATCACAAGTCCATTACAAGCCCATCACAAGTCCATCACAAGTCCATCTTAAGTCCATCACAAGTCCATCACAAGTCCATCACAAGTCCATCACAAGTCCATCACAAGTTCATCACAAGTCCATCACAAGTCCATCGCAAGTCCATTGCAAGTCCATCACAAATCCATCACAAGTCCATCACAAGTCATTCACTAGTCCATCACAAGTCCATCACAAGTCCATCACAAGTCCATCACAAGTCCGTCACAAGTCCATCTTAAGTCCATCACAAGTCCATCACAAGTCCATCACAAGTCCATTGCAAGTCCATCACAAATCCATCACAAGTCCATCACAAGTCATTCACTAGTCCATCACAAGTCCATAACAAGTCCATCACAAGTCCATCACAAGTCCATCACAAGTCCATCACAAGTCCATCACAAGTCCATTACAAGTCCATCTTAAGTCCATCACAAGTCCATCACAAGTCCATCACATGTCCATCACAAGTCCATCACAAGTCCATCACAAGTCCATCACAAGTCTTCCAGTCCCAATTCAACTCATGAGCTTTTCATGTACATGTACTTCTTTTAAGGTCATGTAGAACAATGCGCGCGCCATGAATCCCCGACAGCTGGCCCCAGCCTAAATCTCATTGAAACCTGCAGAAATTTGACTGCCGTTGTGCGCCGAGTCCTGCACAGGCGCGCACGCACGACGCGCACAGTGGTATCACGCACGTAACCAGAAATTTGGGGAAGTCATTTATCCTTGTGTACAGGATCTGTGGTAAATCTAATGTTACATGTATCTAAAAAGGTTTCCTGCACATGATCACCCTGTTTTCGTCTCAGAAACCACTGACATATTTGATGTTCCTGTTTCCTCAACAGCTGTTCCTCATCCGCCAAGAAATGTCTCGGCAAATCCCATCCCAAGATCTCGATTGAATGTCACATGGGAACTCCCGCTTGAATGGAAGACGTCTTACAGGGACTACTTGTATTACAAACTTGAATATTACAAAGAAGGCACAAACGTGTGGATGGAGGTATGAACTAAACCCTAATTGTCAGAAATTAACATTGGTGCTCTACATGTTCCGTTAAAAACCAGATGCTTCTCGGCAGAACTTGAAATGGAGACACATCAGTAAAGCAATGTGGGATGGTTTCAGGATTTTTTGGGCAAAATTGCGATCCTGTATGTACATAATATGTATAAAATAAACCATAAATTTTCAGACCATCAATCTCCTTTGGAAGATGGTTCACTGACGTGATTCACAGATGCATGTCAATTCAACAAGTTTATCCCTGTTGGGTTTGGTAACAAGGAAGTTGCCAAAATTGACTGATTTTTAGTGAGTCAATATTAAGTTTTGCCCTAGACCGAGGTTTGAACACTGTATACTCGGTGTGTTACCTCTAGTTGAAAAAAATCACTTGGGTGGGACTCGAACCCACGACCTCCTGCTTTCGAGTGCAGACGTCTTACCACTCGACCACCGAGCTTGCGGGATCAGTTAGCTGGTACATGCACATGTAGCAACGGGTGCCGCAATTAAATTAATCATAAGTTGGAATTGGCGTGATGTAAATCAACATTAGGTTTTGTTCTTCACCGATACATACGTCGGTGAGGGGCAAAACCTTATATTGATATACACGTACATCACCCTATACGCAAATTCTGTGAATGATTTTTAGTGGCATAATTTTAACACAGTCACTGTAATTGAAAAGATCTACATGTAATGCCACAGTATAAAGTTCAAAGGGAGAGTATGTGTGTGCAGGCAGTGCAGTCACTGTGTGGACCTCTGAACAAAAGATGTCCACACAGTGCAGGTAGTGAAGACGTTGTGTGGACTCGCCCACGTCCACACAACATTTCCCCCTCTCTGAAAAACACTTTGGAGGCATTTTTGGGTTTGGGTTATCCATCCCAAAATGAAGAGGAACACTCAAGGAAATAATGATCAAAAATTTGAATTCAATATTGACTTATTGTTGACCTCCCAGTACCCTGGACCTTCGGATGAGTTTATAAATGGGAAGACATACGCCGAACTACCGTCCCCATCCTCGCTGGATGCCTACACCGTTTACTGCGTCAGGGTTGCAGCTAAAATTAAATATGGTTCGTGGAGTCAGTGGTCAGATTTGTCCTGCAGCAGAACGCTGGAACAACGTAAGTTTGAAATATCTCTGTTGATCAGTGTACACATGTATGGACACAGTGCTTTACGGAATACAATGTAAATCTATTTAAAAAAGGACGCCCATTCTGGGCAAACTCTCAGTGCTGAGCTTTGTTTTAAAAAGTTTGCGTAATATGCCCCGAGAAAGCGGTGGAAAATTGGGACTTAAGATTTGTGGGTTTTTTTAATCAAAGTGTCATCGTTATGGTCTTTAACTTTACATGGGATATTCAATATATATTGATTAGGGAAAATTCTGCTAGCAACGGTGCTTACACAGAATATCCTACGTTATCCTGCGTTCCACTTGCACTCGTTGGGAGTTGAGTGCCCATACTAGCCGTGTAGGAATTGTTAAAATCACGTTACAGATGATTGCTGATCACTTTCTTTCTTAAAAGTTACAGTGAATCACATTTGTTTGTCTTGATATTGTTCAGGGCCTGACGCAGAAGTTAATGTCACGTGGAGCTCGCAAGTCAACGCCCAGAATGACTCCCTCCGCGATGTGCTCTTGAAATGGGTGGTAAGTCCATCACGTGTGTCCAGGGGTGTAACTAGGGGTTTGACATGGGTTCCATCAGGCCTTTTCACGCTAGAGACCATTATCATGTTGCGTCCATCTTGATTTTTGCCCATTCAAATCAACATAACCAAAGCGAGGCTAGAAGGAAATAAAGTCTGGTTCCTAGTGTCATTCAGTACTGTTATTGGATACAGGGAACATGACTAAAATGGTGGCAGCATGATAAAGGTCAATTGTCTCGCTCACCAGTGTTGAAATCAACTTGGGTCCACTGTAGGCGGAACCAGGTTCCATCTTACATGGGTACGCAAGGCATATGATTCTACCAGTGTGCACACGGGTCGGCTGTAGATTTTGGATTTTCTACCAAGGTAGACCCTCTTCTCGACCCTGGTCCTGGCCAGGGTTGGATTTTAACCGTGTAGAGCGTCGGACCCTTGTAAAAGCTGTGTCGGATTCTAGCTTGTGTGAAAGGGGTTCTGCTCCAAAGTTGTGTTATAACCAATTGTGTTGTGAGCAACTAAAGCTCCACCAAAACAGATATATATTTAGTTTGAGACAGGCGAACTTTCTCTAAAGATTTTTATGGACTAGATACTGTAGTCCTACTGAATGACTGCAGTGGTCAATCTTGCATGGTAGTCTCTCCTTATTTGTCCAAACTTACATTTTTTTCTTCCAATGTCAATTTTTAATTTTTTTCCCCAATTTGTTTGTCTGATAAACAAAAGCAAAAAGGTGCTACATAATGGATGTCATATGTTCACATACTTCATTTACCTGTCTTTGAATGCATTCTCCACCAGCACTTTGTATCCTTTAAAAAAAACGTGCTGTATAAATAATAATTATTATTATTATAAATTGAAATACTCAAAACAATGTGGTTCAATGTGTGTTTTTCTGCTGAAACCAAGATGACGTACATGTCCTGCAGACCATTGTATTCATATGTTTTTTTAATGGAAGGAATTATTTAAGAAGTCGGGAAGAATTTCCAAGGATGCCTCAATTTCCCCTTCTGAGAAATGAACCAAAAATACAAGAATCCCTGTCCCGTCAACAAACGAAACACCTGAACAGTAACCTCCTTCTTGATTACTTCCCTCATTGGTCTGCTGGGGTTGTGTGAAAATCAGCTGAAATGAATAAAATTCCACAAAAAATGGTTCACGCAATACAACACGGCTTTGTTCTTGAAATCCCACAGATCTATCACAGCGAAATTCTTGAATCTGGCTACAATAATGTTCTCAGCAAGTAAAAGAACGTTCCCGCTACCCAAAAAGACAAGGAACGTTCTGTTGGACCGCAGAACTGTCCTGGGCTGCCTCAAAGCACCCTGCCTATTACGCCCTATTCTGCCCTAAACCACCCTTGTTAGTTGGATTCAGCTGAGAATCAATCCAAAACATTACATTGTTGTTAATCTGAAACCTTGACCTGATTTCCCCCCCCCCCCCTCTTTTTATTTCAGCCTCTTTCACAAGCCAATGCACGTGGTAAAATCCTGGGCTATCGCGTGATCAGAGGCAACCGTAGCCATGAGAATGTGACAACAGTAGACGACCCTTCCACGACAAGCTTGGAAATTCCTGGTGAGTTTGTCTCTTCAGTGTACTTTTTGTTGTTACCGGTACCTACATATTGTTTTCTCTTTAAGTAAACTTGTTTTATTTAGGGCCTTCAACCGATTTCACAAAGCGCTGCCATATGTCGCAACTTAAGTTGCAATGCGTAACACATCGCAAGTAGCGATACGTAGTAGGTCCTTAACAACGTCGGAAGTAACGACATGCCTTTTGGCCATTGAAAAATAAGAAGCGTCTTTGTTTCTGACCCAGTTTGATCGCCTTAGAATTGAATTAATAAAATTATAATACCAAGACATTTTCTTCAAATTTGTAAAAAGAATATGAATTGAAGTAAATATGAATTATAACAGCATGTTTTTTTCCCCTGGAAAACCACCTCATCTCTCCAACATTTTGTTTTAAAAACTTTTTGAGAGAAGACCCAACTCTTTGCTGAATATCATACAACTATTTAATGTGCATAGAATAAATTAGTGTCGCACAACGACGTGTTTTATGAAATGGTTCGCAGGTCAAATTGCAGCCATGATGCGTTGAAGGAATAAGATATATTGTAGCGCTGTAAAGCAGTTTCATGTAATAGTTTCCAGTTGTATTAAAGAGGTTGTGGAATGGTCGAAGACATTTCCGTCATTTTTCGTTTATACTACGCTGCATCGGAAATCCTGTTTAATACGTCACGATTTACTGTGTTTTGTTTGCTGCCCCCAACGACGACTTTTACACAAATTGCACGTTCGGGTCGAAACAGGACCTGAAAAACAGCTCTCAAGAGTACCTTTTGTACTCATTTCAAGACAGACACAATAGTTGTTTTTATTTCATCACACCTTAGGCTACATATCCCCGAAAAATGACGGAAATGTCTTCAAGCATTCCACAACCTCTTTAAAAGAAATCACCAGATTTTTGGGGCTGACAAGACCAGTAGATAACTTAATATACATAAAACATGGACTGTTTGCAGGTTTGGAACGGTACAGAGGATACAGATTTGCCATTGAAGCGTATAATGGTGCCGGCCCCTCACCACGAAGTTTGCTTGACATTGCAGCTGAGCAGAAACCTGGTGAGTACCAATCAGCTACATGTAGGATGTTGTCATCAGTGTTAACCCTCCGAGCAGCTTATAAAAAAATCACACGGTGGAACCACGTGGAGAATTTAATCACCACATGTGTTGATAGGTCAATAACCCTGGCATGCCTGTACATGCACAAGATATAGGTCATTCACATGGCCAGGGATTGTTTACAACCTGTCTGGGCTCCTGGCGGCACGAGGGGTTGACACAAAGGGATTGGCGGCTCTTAGGGGTTGGCCACTAAGATCTCCCATTCCTGCACAAAGGCATTGGGCACCATCTTGGCTTCTGTCTTTTAACACTCCTTACTCCGGAGTGGGTAGGGTCTGGCCAATGGGAGTCTACAGGCTTGTGGTGTATAGTAGGGGTGAGGATTACATGGAAGCTTGGCCTTATTGGCCCATTGAAAAAAAAATTATGCCCATATTTGGAAAATGTGGAGAATGAAATCACCACTTCGCTGCTCAGAGGGTTAATAAGTACTTTTATCCGAGTATCAAGCTATCGGGAACCACTCTTATCTGAGTACTTTGACCAAGGCTTGAGAACGAGTACAGACTCCCCGAGTCCAAGTACGAGTTCTTGGGCCTCCGAGTACCTGTACTTTATGGAGAATTCGGGTGAAAACAATTAAAATCTCAAATAATGGAATTGACACTCAAAACCATCATTTCAGTACTGAATAGTCATTAGTATCGATAAAATGGGGCTTGTGCATCTCATTTTGTTCATTCAAAACTAAATAATTCAATTTCCCCCCCCCCCCCCCCCCCCCCCCCGAGTCCTTATAATTGAGTGAGAGTACTTTGATGATATCGAATAGTCGAGTCCAAGCACTTTGCTTCTCAAGTACGAGTACCATGAATTTAAGTCCTGAGTATTTTGGCATTCGAGTGTGAGCGCTTGTACGAGTATTCTCAAAAAAGACTCGGAGTTGTATTTGAGAACGAGTACGAGTGCTACAACACTGTTATGGCATTCTGTCTTAATCGAGGACAAATTCGAGTAAAAGTAAGTTAAGTGCCCTTATGAAAATCGTCACCGAAAGAGAGTAGGCATCTTTATGTAATTGCACAAAATGGATGGAGCTACCAGAAACCTTTAATACAGGGAACTGCACTCCTTTTACACAGCTCCAATAACTTCTGACTTCGTTGTTTATTTTTTTATTTCCAACCTAGCTCCCTCGTTCATTGTGACAATCATCGTTGCCATTGTGGTTGTGGCTGTTACGTTTGTGGTCATTGCCGTCATCTGGTGTCTCGTCAAACACTACCATCTGCTTAAACCGGTGCCCAGTATCTCCATGATACCTCTTGAAAGGGTAAGATCAAATAGAAATCTTGGTAGATTTTTCATGCCTTCCATACGTTCTTTAACCCTAACTCCCTAGGATGCAACCTCAGTCCTCCAGCTGCCTCCATGTACAAATTGCGTACAGCCTCAATCCTGCAAAATCCTCCGTTGTTTCTTGAATGTGGTCCTTGGAGGTTGACCTTTGCCTCAATCCTGCCAAATACTCCAGCAATCGCTGTCAGATGTTGAGGCAGAGCCAGTGACATCCTGGAGCAGTGTGGAGGATTTCAAGTATAATCTAGGCCCACAGGGCTGAGCATGAATAACACAAGATCCAGCCTAAGACCTTGACACAGTGCATCCTCCATCCAAAATCAGCCACATATTCTTGCCATATAGCCTCAATCCTGCAAAATCCTCCATTTTGCAAAGAGGATTTTGGAAGGTTTGGGAAGGTTAGGGTTAATGCGTGTGGAACACAGGAGCCTGGACTGTCGATGCTTGTTAACAGTTCTCCTGAGGCAATTTTGTTTGACATGTTTTATTAAACTTTCCTCTATACTAGTGCAAACTGCAAAGGGATTGCCACTTGACCACCAAGATTGCTGATGAAAATTGGCTGGTTTGAATGAGATAATCTCGTTCATAATTTGGGAATTTCTTAAAATGTTTCATTCCAGTTTGATAGAGTCATCAGCCGACCAGGGCAGAGAGGAGCCGTTGAGCGTGAGGTCTTTGACGAACCGCGCGGGCATCGCACCCCGAATGGAGTCCTCCCAAATGGAAACATTCCCGGAGGCTCCCACCCACCTGCTGGCGGAGCAGCAGCAAACGCTGCAGAGGACAGCGAACGAGATTATGTACAATTACGGGAACAGGCCAGCCCAGATGAATCCTTCCCACTTCTGCGCAGCAACTCTGGAAACGGGTCTTGCTCAGGGAAGAGCAACTCTTGCAGGAAAATGTCGCAGGGGAGCGTCAACTCCACAAACTCCTCTGGCGTTTGCTCCGATAAGGATCCGGAGTCACCGGGGTCGACAGTTGCGAACTACGGCAAATTTGCCAAGCTGTACGTGCAGATACCGGACTCGGCCTTGTCGGATTCGCAGCATTCTGGTCCGGGCCAGCCCCGACTGGATTCAACGGACTCGGGCTTCGGCGACAACGGCAGCGAGTATCGGATGCCCAGCTACACCAAGCTGTCGACCATCCCGTCGGATCCTGGATCGGTTGAAACGTCGCCCGGTTGGGAAACCGACCCCGAGGGCGACTATAACGGTGGGGACGTTTACCATCGCATTGCTGAAGGAGAACCCGTTGCAAGTAACCAGGATCTGTTACTGGGCCAACCGACGGTGCCTGCCTACACGAGACTCTCATCCATTCCTGCACCTGTGATTAACCCTACGGCGCCCTCTGTTGGCAATGAGGTGCATGTGACCATCTCAGATGGAACAGCGCCCTCGTTTGGAAATTCTGGAGCAGGCAGTGTGTAAAAAAAAGTGTAAATTTTTGAAAAATGTTGTAATATTCAGAGTATTTGTCTGTCCCTTGGGGACAACGTTTTTGTTGGATTACTGAACCGAAATGTGCAAAATTGATGAAATTGCTGCTCTATTAAAATAATTTCCTTATCCTCTTCGACGGTACCGGTACACAATAAAATACTACAATTTCAATAATTTCTTAATGCAATAATACCCAAGTAATCTTCGGGCATGTCTGTTCTGTTTAAAGAATCTATAACTTCAAATGACAAATTTCAAAACTATGGAAGTCTTTATCATTTTTCAGTTTAAAACTCTCATTCTTGTGGATGCAAGTTAAACTTGTGCCTTCTTTATCTGTGGTTATATAAGAAAATGTTTTTCCTTGCAATTTTGCGATAATGTTTTTCTTAATACATAAAAAGAGACACTTCTAACTTTACATTGCGATCAAAGTGTTCTTATGAACAGCTGAAAAATCCAGAACAATTCAAATAAAAAATTTTGATCTCCAAAACTTTATAATTGTAATATAGATTTCTCCTTAATTCCTTTAAAAAAAATTCTTTTACTTTTTTGCACCGAATGTCTGTATTTTCTATTTTTCTATTACTTTGTTATACTTCCAAAATGGACTTGTTTCTTTTTTAATGCTTCCACAAAAATATGAAAATGAATATTTAATCTTCCATTCTCACTTTTCAAATTTCAAAATAAAAGTTAGTATCTTCATGAAATAACATGTATGCAAATCTTGACTTTGCAGATAAGAATTGTCTTTATGATGTTCTATTCTGGATGAAGGAAATCCTATTGTGTGCATGTACATGTACGCAACAGAATGAACTTACATGTACATGTATGCAAAATGCACCATGGGCAGATCAACACGTGGGTTGCATGCATATTGGACTGTATACGTAATTCATTTAACATTTAGCAGCCCGACTGGTGCAGGCTGTTCATGTAGGTGAAAATTTCCTTTTGGGTACAATGTACAACCTGTCTTATTTGGCAAATAAAACCAACTTCCTTGTTTCGTCGGTCCGTGTTTCTCAACATGCAGTTGCAAAATTCAGAATCGTTTGATATACATGTATATAGTAGTGAAATATAAGTAAATGTGTACAATCGTTCCAAGCCTCTTGAGTTATGAGATGTTCTGTTATGATGCACCGGTAGAACACTGCAGTAAACAGGAAAACCCTTCCAATATGGAGTTGCTTGTAATTGTGCTGCATGTACAGTGCATATTTATGTAATAATTCAATCGGATCCAAGGGGGATGTATTGACTCCATGTTCAAGTAACAAAGACAGACAACTACATGAAGGCAGCACTCGTGAATGCATTGCAGCTGTACACCTCCTGCCCTCGCTGCGACAACCTACTTTATTCTGAGTGTGTACAAAGCCATAGTGCCTTCGCGTAAGCATCAGGCGTCGTCGGCAATGTCGCCCCCTGTGGTCTCCCCCCTACTCTCCTTTTCTTACTGTTGTGCACATTTAGAAAGACGTGCGTACATTTGTGTGCCATATGTGTGCCAACAGTCATCATCATCATCTTCCTATACTCGCACATGATGTATACACATCCTTCCTGCCAGAAACACCGGGGCGAACCCCTTCTCTTAGCAATAAGCGTTACTGGGTTCTTTTACGTGCCTTAGGCCTTATACAACACACGGGACCTACGGCTTTACGTCCCATCCGAAGGACGAAACAAGAATGGTTAAGTGCCTTGCTCGAACCCACGTCACTGTTGCCTCTGAAACACCAGAGCACGAGTCCGGTGCTGTCAACCGCTAGGCCATGACACTCCATACATCCATTGTGTTTCGTTTGTGGAGCTCTGACAAGTTAAAAGCAAATCTGTTCACGAACTGTCCATAAACCCAGTAGGTCTCTCTCAAAGATAGCCATCTGTGTAGGAGAACTGCAAAGTTCTACGTATTTTACGCAATCGAGCACGCATTGCGCAGTGTTGAAAATGTTCAAAGCATGCGCACTTGTTGCTCGAAATGTGTTACATTGTATGTGACTTTCTTGTTGAGCTTATTGTATTACATTGTAAATTGTGATAATTCTTGTGATAATTCTTGTGAAAATGAAAAGTGCACATGTAATTGAAATTCAACATACATTTCACTATGTCTTTGTTTCCAAATGCAGAGTAAAATCAAACATGTATTTTCAAACTACATGTACGTGAGTGTAGTAAGATAATTTAGGTTGTGTGCATTCTGTTTTGGTGCCAACATGATATGTGGTACAGAGATGCAATGCTCGTAGATTTTCTTCTTAAGCGTTACATTCAAAGTCTCACTGAGTGTGCAATGATTTTGCTTTAATCTATCCCTAAAGATTCAGGGATATATTTTTGTGTACAATTTTCGCACAATTGTAGATTTTGCTGGATGGTTATTACTTTCGTATTTTGATTTTGGTCTTTCATTGGGAATTTGAATTCACATCTGTGCATTACCAAGGACCAAAAATAAAATAGGCTTAAATAAAATGTTATGTGTATTTCATATTTGACTTCATGGTTTAACATGTATATTCAGAAAATGAATATTAGTCGATGACCAATAATGACTTTTTCTGATCCATACACATGTAGTTACAATGTATTTTAGCTTTAAAGAAATACCCAGGAAAATGTAGCAATTTGTTTTGTTGTACATAAATGGATTTTATGGGGAATAAAGTATGAAATAAACATAAACTTTGTCACACCTCCGCCATGCAAAAAGTGGAATTTTGAACCTTTTAGTCACAGAAATTCAAAATACTCAAGCCCGGCCCGAACACGAGAAACATTGTAATGTCAGTTTCTTGTGTATGGATCAACGATTGGTTCAACAAACAGATGCTGTTCATAAATGATTTTTGGTATGGTTCCTTAACCCTAACTCCCTAGCGTCTTTTACAAGGAACTAGACCAATTCCATCAAAATCCATCAATCACTGTGCGTCTAATACAAAACTGTACATGATATAATGGAATCCACCACTGACACACTGGTTGACATTCATGGACTTGCGAAACCTGGCTTTTTATCACAATAGCAGAACAAGCAAAATCAATCGGATACCCCTAGCACTGCTTCAGGCCATTTGTCCCAATTCCATCAAACTCCATCAATATTTAGTCATGCCAGGCCTTCTGGACCAAGTCCCCCAAAATCTGCCTCAGATTTTGTTGGAGTTGGGGTTATTGAACCTTGAAAGTTTGGATGGCGGTCACAGGAAACGTACATGTAGCAATGGTTGATTTTGTGTTGTTTTTAAAAGTTGATAAACTTTTGGAATTGAAGGGAAAGCTTATTCTCAGACAAGAAACTTTCACAGAAATCAGTGTTATTTTGGGATGAAACCTATTGATATTACCAAACAGTTATTCAAAATGTGCTTCGTGCCTGTATGTTGTGTTTGACTTGAAAAGTGTGAAATTTGGAAATTGGTCACAAAAAAAATCAGGAACATTTGATTTCCTTTTTAATTTTGTTTTAAAATAATTTGAAATAGAATGGCATATGCATTCTCAAGTTCAAAAAAGTGAAGGATGTGGTCTTAATTTTTAATCATGGGAATTTGAACAAGGAAGGCGGCAGTGTTGAATTTCGAAACAAAACTGACCGATGGTTTTGAGAATTATGTAAGGATTAAGCCGGTGTTGAGAAAAGATGGTAAAAGATGAACTTACTCTTGATGGAAAACGAATACTTTTTTTGAGTGACTGATAGAAAACAAAATTCTCAGTTTTCTTTTCTCCGTTGCCAAATTTCGTTGGAAGGAAATCGTTCATAGGAAGAGTAGTCTGTTGGATAATTGTCCTAAGGAGAGGAATATTGTGTAAAGAGGAAAATATTTTGAAAGTTGAACTCAGGGTTAAAAAATCATGTAAATACTAAATTATTTAGACATATTTTTGGCAATTTAAATAGTGCCTGATGTATATAGTGTTGAATGTACATGTACATGTCGAAAAGTCACCACGATGCTGGTAATTTGAAGAATACATGTTTTCAAAGACGGCAGCATTGGTGCTTTTTTATTCTTATTAATATCTGTATGAATATTCATAACCGGTATAATTACTAGTGTCAAATGTTTTGTAAATGTTTATTCATAAGTAATGAGCACTATGAATGCTTCTGTATTCATATCTGTATGAATATTCATAACCGGCATTTAGGGACCGGCATTATACGTGTTCAAATGTTTTATGAATGTTTATTCATAAGTAAATGTGCATATGAATACTTCACTTGTTAATACTTGGGATACTGTTTCTATATTCATTCACTGCTGTTCTCAATTTAATGCAAATTTCATACTTAAATATTCCTGTATAATTATTCCTGTATATGATTCTGGTAATTGTCAAAGATATGTCAAACGTTCTTGTCTAGAGATTTATCTTTAATTATGCAGGATTCTCTTCAAGCTTGCACTCTATCCAAATGTTCATCTCTACCTCTCGCACTGAAACGTGCCTCATAAGTACAATTCACTCAAATTGTTCAGACTTCTTTTAAAGGGAATATACAACATTTGCTTTTGCTGCAATTTTCAGAAATAAATGGATTTGGAGGATTAGTATGTTATAAAATATTGTTAAACTGACTTGTTTCATGTTTTGGGCTTGTAGATGCTGGAAAAACCAAGAAAACCTATCATGTTCTTGTAGTCTGATTCCCTGACCCCACTTAAGATGAAACGAAGCAATTAATACACTTTGGGGAATTGCAAGGTCAGAGAATCAGTCTAGCAGGCTTGTACCCCTTCACAGGTGTGTGATCAATCGCAAAGAAAAGTCAGAATAACTAAATATGAAAAATTAAGAACAGTTTTTGAAAAAAAGCCAGTTTTCTCCAACGCTGGTAGGCCGACCAACGTTGGAAAAATACAGTTTTTCTTGAAACTGTCAGCCCACCAGGAGCCACGATTTTAAAGGATGCTTTAGACTGTCACTCCTTAATAATTCAGTAAGGTATTTCGTGGTAATTTGATCATTTCGTTTTTTGATGTTTGCAAATGTTGTATTTTCCCTTTAAGTACATGTTTCACTGTTTGTTTTGTAAAGTTGACAGATTCACATTTGATATGTGAATTAATGCTAATAAAAAACATTAAAAAATGTTCTTGTTATAATTTTTTTGATTCACGTCTCCGAATTGCACTGAAAAAAATTAGGACTATATTTGCTCTGCAGTGGTGAAATTCGTGCAAGGCACCTTTTCAAAGGAGAGGTTTTAAAACAAAATTAACAAGAATAGTTGTTGGTCATTATTGTTAAACAAGCATTCAATGTTAAGGTTTTTTTTTACTTTTTTAGACTCGGCTGTGCAACACTACTTCAACTGGAACAAAAACAAGATGGAATAGTCCATTACAATTTTTATTTCTTCAAATAGTTCACACAACATTCACACACATGTATATTACAAACAAAAAATACAAAAACGAATTACAATACTCATGATTAAAGACCAAATGTCTTGATTTCAATTCAGTCTTGAGAGAGTCAAAACTCCGAAATTGGATAGGATACATTCTATACCTGGAAACGGAATCATGATTCCACTTTTTTTGTGGAACTGATTCCAGTGGCAACACCTCCAGTTCACCCCCCCCCCCCAAAAAAAAAGATTCAGGCACCTCAAAACTTATCTAAAAGATCTCTTTTAAAGGTACACAGATTCATTTGCTTTTGTTTGAAACAACAAATCTGCTGAAAATCTTATGAAGGGGGCATAGCGACTACTTTGTTGAAGTTGCAGCTCAGTTTATACGATACACGTTACTCTTCCTAAGACACATCTTAGCAATGCACGAAATTGGCCTCCCGACAAAAATACCGGGTCATGTGGCCTATGAAAGGCATATTCAAACAATATTATGACATAGTGATGATCAGCGATATGAGAATTAGTGGCCTAAATGAGTTTTGAGTATTAAAGAACGTCAAGTGTGCTTTTTTTTCTGACAAATAAAAATGCCTTACACTCAGTGCAGATGGGCTAAAGGCAGAGTTGTAACGAGTCACTGATTTTTGTGACTCAAGTCGAGTCATTAGGTCAAGGCGGTCGAGTCGAGTGGAGTCACAGTGTGAAGTCGAGTCAAGTATTTAGCTAGAGTCAATTCAAGTCACAAATATTGGAGCACTATACAATAAATAAACACAAGAGAGAAAGTCATTTTTTGGCTTTTTAATTTTTACATTTGGGCTACTACATGTGGCGACACCACATTTGCCTCAATAGCCCTAACAGTCCTGAATCCTCCAATTTTAATATAATTTTGCACACCCCCTAGGGAGTTAAGGTTAATGAAAATAAAAAGGGGGTGCCAGCTGATCGTCATTCAACTAATGGGGACACTGATCAAACCACGTATGTATATGTATACATTATTCGCGAACATTCTAACCTGACTTGAACAAAAACCGGCGCCAGCGTAAGTCAACGCAAATATTTATCGCAAAGTTTTGCTTTTATTTTTGGGACTCGAGTCTCATTAGCCTTCCTTGAGTCGAGTCGAGTCATTCTGATGAGGGACTCAAGTCGAGTCGAGTCACCAAAAATTGTGACTCGAGTCGGACCTGAGTCGAGTCATTGACTCGAGTTATTACAACTCTGGCTAAAGGCAACAGGCAGGAATTGTGTTAGACTATTATCAGGATGGCTTGTTCAATTACCTGAATAAATATAATTATATGAGACACAGCCTCCAAAATATTTCTTAACTCAGAATTTGTTTTAATAATTTCATAATTCATTGAAAAACAGGTTGACAAATTCATTTTGACACTTAAGCGCCACATAATTTGTTAGTACATTTTGGTAAAAATAAAATATTTAACTATAATTTATTTTGAATTTTTTTTTTTAATACTTGTACATGATTTAAAAAAAAACTACATGAATGAGTTTTATAGTATACAAATATTGAATGCTTCGAGTGGTGTGGTAAAACAAGCCTCCCGAGGTGATCCATGGACATTCTATTATAGAATGCTCCATGGATCACCGAGGGAGGCTAGTTTTACCTCACCACGAGATAAAGCGTTCAATATTTGTTTCATAACACTTCACCCACAGATTCTGCTTGGTTTAAATATTTTAAATTATTTGAATCTGAACACAGTTGAAATAAACTTCAATTTCAATATAAAATTGGTGGAAAATGTATTTCTCTCTTCCAAACTACCCCTTCACGAAATGTTTGAACCCAACTCTGCGGCGCGATCTCTTTGGAACAAAACGCGTTACGCGCAACGTGCACACCAGCATGCATTTGCACACAAATACCATGCCGTGGATATAGTACTTTGGTTGCTAATGGTATAGTACTTTGGTTGCTACGGGTAAAGTATTTTTGGCCGTGCACAGAAAGATAGCAAAAATAGAAAGTATTATGTGACTCGCTCTCGGCCATTCAAGACACAGAATCTGTGGGTGAGGTGTTATAATTCAAAATATAAAACAAGCAAATGAATGTATTCAAAGGTCATTTTGAAAACCGAGTTTCATTGGAAGAAACTGGAAAGAGCCGCCAGAAAAAATATGAAAATTTGAGGAAGATTTTGTGGATAAAAAGTAGGAAATTTACCCTGTGGGAGGCAACTTTGACGAGAGAAATTTGTGAACGTGTGGCCAGATCTTGTCAGACTCGGTCCCGGTAAATTGCTCCAGTAAGTTCATTTCTCTAAAAGAAAAGGAAACGAGGAAAAAAAAATTGCCTAATTAGTCATCTAAAACTGATATATGGAAAGACAGAGCAATTAAAATATCAACAGAAAATAGAACATACAGGTAAATAGGCAATACAACACAACAGAATGATAGGTAGTACATTTTATACAACACCTGAATAAATCCCTGTCATCTGATTGGTGGGTCACTGTTCAAGTGTCATTAAATTATTCGTCCCAACCCATGGCCCATTCCCCATGGCCCATGTGAAGGAATGGAATACCGCAGGTTTTTTATTTCAAAACATGAAAAATTCAGAATTCTGGCTGCAGTCCGAAAACTGGCATCTCTGTTTACTCGATCGAGTTGTTGACGGAAACGCAAGTATTAAAGTTTTGATATCTTCCCTACCTGAAGAAGTCGGTTACTGGTGTTGTCATTTCCTGGTAAGCCTTTAGCCGTGCCAACACTGTCTCTGGCCTGTCATCGTCTCGCTGAGTGAGTGGCTCACCGGTTACGTCATCTTTACCCTGCAAACAAATAAATACCGGTATCAAATGCTGAACCCAAACATGGCGAGTCATATGGCTTGAGAAACTTAGCCTTGGTCAATGCTCTCGTCGTTATTCGTCCCGTACGCGGTCAATCGTCGGCATATATCCTCACACGCTATGCACATGCATGTAAAATTACAGCGCGAACAGCGACCTCATGCGGCCACTATTTTTATATGCAAATCAGTTGGGGACGATCGAGAGCCTTGGTTCAATCGTCCATGTGAGGTTTTGGGGGTGGTGCTTATTATGTAAATAGCCTTAGCTGACCTTACATGTCGTTTTCTTATTGGTCGATCGTTGCGTGGAAACTTGCATAGTGAAACGTGGCACTGTACATAATCCATACACGTAAACGCACCAATGCACAAAAACTGTGGTTCCTGTCACGTCCGCAAAAGGCGAATAGCTGCAAATAATTTGATGACGTCCGGATTTACCAAGGTGTGATTGGACACTCTACATATTAGCCCCGCCTACACTTATCTGTATTCGCATACGAGGTCGTGCGCTAGAAATCCAGCGCAAAACGAAGAAAAACATAAGCTTTTGCCGACGATTGAACCAAGGCTCGAGATCGTCCTCAACTGATTTGCATAAAAAAATAGTGGCCGCATGAGGTCGCTGTTCGCGCTGTATTTTTACATACATGTGCATAGCGCGTGAGATATGCCGACGATTGATCGCGTACGGGACGAATAACGACGAGAGCATTGACCAAGGCTATGAGAAACTTTGTAAGTAACCCCCCCCCCCAACACACACATCTTCGTAGACACCAGCAATCGTGGATCCCCTATTGTCCCTAATCCTCATTTCTTTGTTTGTACTCAAAACAACAGCTCTCATCGGTTTTGTACTCAAATTTCAATCGAGGACGTTCGGTCAATCGTGGACATATTGTTTGTGCCCTAACCCTTTTGTCCGAGGTCCACATTTGCCGGTGTTTACATGCTCACGTTTGTTTATGGTGTAAATCGAGGATTTTCTATTGTTCCTCTTCCTTTTCCTTTGTTAATATACTTTTTTGCAACAGCTCTCATTGGTTTTGTACACATTTTCTAATCGAGGTCGTCCTCGATCAGGTTCCTGTCCTCAATTCATCGATGATGTTGCATGTGTGTGTCCTCGATTTACACCATACCCACACACATACTCAAACTATTAACACCCCCCCCCCCCCTACCAATCCACTGAAATGAACATTTCAGGAACTCAAACCTTACTTGTTCCTTCGGTGGGTTCCATTCCAAGTTATACACCCTTCCACTGGCTGCATGCACCCATCGTCCCTCCAGTCGACTGACAATGACGTCAAAAGGGACATCGAGGTTGATGACAGTGTCGACTGCCACGTCATCGGCTAAAGCTTTGGCCTGCTCAACGGTGCGTGGAAAACCTGAACGAGGGCGACAATCCCGCAAAACCTTAAAGCTATAGTCCATCATTTGTAATTAGTGCATTTTGTTCGTTTGAAGCAACAAAAGCGTTCAAAATCTAATAAAGGATACTGAGCAACTAACCTGATGAAGTTTCAGCTAAGCTTCAGCTGTACATTCCGAGAAAAACAGCATTCTAAGATCTCAATTTCAAATCAAAAGTTACTGAATCATGTTTTGAATTGTTTTGTAATTGCAGCTATACGCGATGTCGCGCACTGATCCGACGAATTATAGCAACCTCGCGCGCGTGTGCGTCGTGCCAATGCTTGCGCGCGCTTCGCCGAATAACAAAACAAACTACTAATTTAAATGTTCCTACGGTGCGTCTTAAGATGCACCGTTGGAAAGGCCTTCTTTCGTTGATTACTGCAAAATGACAGCTTGCCAGAAAGAATAATTTCACAGGGAGTTTAGTCCCCTTACTATCTTTCAACCAAGTATGTTTTTCAACAATAATTACACCAGTTACTTTTCGGATGGCTGCAAATGATGGACTATAGCTTTAAGGTATTGAAAACATGCAATACAAGAAAATAGACTGGCACCTGAAACAACCAGTCAAACACCGCTTCAGTACTGCATCAATCAACCATGCCAAAAGAATTACAAAAACATGTGGCATAGCCTCAATCCTGCAAAATCTCTCATTTTGAAAAGGAAATTTTGGAGGATGTTTGATATGTAAAGCATTGAATGATAAAACACATTACCATCAAGGAGCCAGTCTGTGGATGATAATCCTTTCAGTTCATCCAGTATTAGGTCCACCATTAACCGGTCTGGTACCAAAGCTCCTCGCTCTATATACTCTTTTGCCTTTAAACCAGCAGCTGCACAAAAACAAGGGGGAAAACATTTGGTTACAATTATGTACCAGGTTTCTGCTTCCAATTGCATGGCAGGGTAGGTAATGTAAGTACAACGTAGATGTACGGAATTTTAGTTTTGGGTCAAATGTAGCCTCATGAACGTGGCTTGTAAACTACGCCACGCTGTTGTGTATTTTTGAACCTGGCGAAATTGTCCCTCTGACTCTCTCCGTTACACACACTGGACGTTATTTTGCCCATGTAATAAGTACTCACATATGAAGCTGTCTTGAAATCTGTTTGTACATCAAAACTTGCATTTGACGAAATTTGAGAAAATTCTGGCCCCGGTTCATGAAGTCCTGCTAGCTGCCACTTTCTCCCAACTGACGCATGCGCATTGCGTTTTATTGTACCGTCCTGTTTCGTATGATTCGACGGCTGTTTACTGTCGCAGCTAAAAGAGACATCGTTTTAGACAAGTTTCAAGTGTTTTCCTCTCTCACCGCACCGCGATGAGCCGAGCAGCCAATCTTCTGCGGGTTTTTTTCGGGGTTGCGACATGAAACAGCCGTCAATCTGTCCAAGCGACAGGAAGCAGACGGGTAGCTCAGAGGGCTCCGATAATTTTGCACGCAAATGACTCGGGTACTCGTCCGGGGTCATTTGTCAGGGTCACTTGTCAGGTTAAAATCTATTTCTACGTCGTATGGGTTTTTATTGATGGCAAATTTCGTCGAAATTACACAGCCTGAACAATCGGACGGGCAAATTTAGATTTCTAGGTGAGTACTCAACATCCATACGGAATTACAATGTATGTATGGCGGATCGATTTCGCTTGGTTCTAAAATACACAACAGCTTGGCGTTGTATACAACGCCACGTTCAAGGGTCTAGTTCGAATGATGATTTGGGTGGCATGGGTGGCTTGTGCGTAAAGCACTCGCCTCTCACCAAGGTGACCACGGTTCGAATCCTGGCTGCGGATCCTGGCCCGGCCGTGGATCACATGTGAGTAGAGTTGTGCGTTGGTTCTCTCCTGTGCCACAAGGATTTTCCTCTGGACCCACCGATTTTCCTCCCTCTGGAAAAATCAAACACTTTCGATCTTAGGCTGTGCTCCATGGTCATATATGGGTCGATGTGGCCGGCAGCCGGCCATAGGCACCTTTACGTGCCATCGGCCCGATCACATTGTAGCCGCTTCCTTTGCAATTCAGCGTCTCAGCTGCCAGTAAGGATGATTAGCCTCCCGAATTATTATTACTAAATAGGCCTACTTATTATTATTCTTAATTTTCGTTTAAATAACAAGCCAAAACTCACCTAGAAAACACTATTTTTTCCTTTATGCAGTGCTAGTCCGACTAACTAGGACTCTACAAATCGCCTCTTTTAACTTTTGGACATGGTCGCGCAACTTCTATCGGCAACCATGTCTCAATGTTAAAAAAGGCGATTCGTATTGTTGATGTACCCTAACGTGGCGCGGCCCCTAACGTGGCGCACTTTGATTTTTTGCCTGTAGCGCCTAGCTAGAGCACAAGTTTTAACTGAAATTTTACAGAAAGTGAAATTTCATCAAGTTATAAACACTTCCGTTCATAAATCGTGAATTTATTTACCCGCTACAAAGTTAAAAGAAAAACTTATTTTGGCGTGATTTTCCAATTTTATTTCCAAGTGCAAAGTGAACCCTTTGAAAATGCCCCGAAAAATAAGAAAATAATTTTGTGACAAACATCTGGCTGGGTATGTAAGTAGAGATAATAATGATTTATCAGAATTATCAAGTTTTCAGAAATTCTTAAATGTTAATTTGGAATTTTCCGAGATTTATTTAAGTGCGCCACGTTAGGGAACACTCCGCAAAATTGTGCCCAATTTCCGGACGCCACCGTTTTTCAATTTCGGCTTAAATTTTATGAAACCGAAATTGTTCACAGAGGTTAAATAGCAAGCATTGATAAGGTAAAAGTACCAGCATTTCACTGCATGAATTTGAGGTTTATCAACAAAGAGGTTTGGCGACACTACACGAGGAAAGTTGGGTAAGCTTCGAAGTGCGCCACGTTAGGGAACACGACTATACTAGTAATATCGCCTTAGCTTTCAACACATGTTCAATCAGGGATCGTTCAATTCACCTGTTTGACTTCGCACCTGTGCCCTGAGCAGGTCGCCGCTAGACAAGTGATTCAGCTTAAAGTCTCTCACGATCCTGGAGGAGATGGTCCCTTTACCGGACCCTGGGGGCCCCATTATGATGGCACGGAACACTTTGCTTATCATGGCGATTAAATGTTGTAATTTAGGCTCAAGTCAGTACAATAATCAATTGACATGATCTACGAAAGGTTTCGTGTACCGTGTAGCCTTGCCAAAACTCTTCGCTCGCACAGCGCCCTCATTGTTGGTTAAGGAATTGGGCAGATGATTGAACATCATGATAATAATGCTCATCTTTTCCTTCTATAAAAATAATTTGTACACGAACTTAACCATTTTCATAAGCAAACAATTAAAAAAAGTACTTTTCCTCGCAGATATCCACAGTTAAAGCAAAGTGACCACTTTAAATTCTTTAATGATAAACTTTTTTGGGTGTCAAAGTGTTTTGTTATGAAGAATACAGAGGGCGCTGTGCAATTTATATAAGTGACCAATCTTACTGGACGTGCGCGATGCTGAAGAACCACTTAATAGCGCACTATCTACCAACAGTTAGGTACTCAGGGCGCTGGACTATTATATATATATTAACCAAAGGTAAATGAAATTAATGAGAAAATGTGAGAACCATTATGTAGAAATTTATAAAGGGTATACAACGTGCTGCGGCACACCCCTTCTCTAAGCTTAGCGATAATGTTACCGGGTTCTTAGACGTGCACATTCCACACAACACCGTGCCCCACGGCCTTACGTCCCCTTCGAAGAACAAGCAATTATGGTAAAGTGCCTTGCTCAAGAGCACAAGGGCCAGGTTCCCTGTCAGGATTCCAACCTATGTATCACGGCCGCACGAGTCAAACACCATAACCATTGGACCACAGCCCCGGCCGCCCACATGAACAACTTTGCCGATCCGAACCAACACAAATATCGCATAACGTCACCTGCCTCTAATATCGATCCGGTCGGATGATTTTTGCGGTTGGTACGAACACTCCCCATCGTTGTTGGGAATTCAGTTGCCCTCAAGCGACGATCGGAAGTGGAGTGATTTTTCTGTCCTCTCCGAGTCTGTGAGCTGGGTTGATCGTCTGACTCTCAAACATCAAGCGCAAGCCAAATTCAGCTCGGATCAGCGGCAGTGCTTACTGTAAGTACCGTAAAAAGTGTTGTATTAGTTTCATCAGATGATTACTTGTTAAAGCCACGTAGGATTATCCAGAAAAGTTCCTTCTGATTTATTTACAGTAACCAGGCTAAAAGTGAATAAAGGTGGCAACAAATATCCTCGATTACTCGATCTGTCTGAAAAAAAAAAGAAAACTACCAATGGAAGGGGTTTCCAAAGAAGCTGTCCCAATCAATTTTCTTCCTATTTTTTTTCTGGACAATAATAATTCTCCGCGATTTTCTTCTAAACCTTTAATGGTATACACTTAAAACTTTGTCCATTATATCAAACCTGCTCCCAAGGTGTACATATTACTCTGATGTCACGATGACGTAATCAGGTATCAAAATTACAAGTGATATAACTCATGAACACAATGAACTATTCATACTTTGGGATAGACCATACCTTGTTTAACATTTTTGATAAACGCAGTCAAAGTCGTCTGACTAGACCTTTCCTTCCGGGGCTAGTTTATATGAATTCAAAATATAGAAATGAGCCTCAAATCAAAACAAACCAAAATTTCTTCCAAGCGGTTGACGGGTGATCATAAAACCTGGTGTGAACTGGGACCTCAATCCGAAGGTGTTATAAATTTTATGGCTTCATCATGACACCATCAGATATCAAAGTAATAGCGATTTAAGGTCAATATAGGAATAATTACTTTGAATTATAACTTTCTAAATGACTGTAGTACCTTTTTACTGTTGGTGATCGGTTTGACAGTGCCTCGGGCAATATATTGGATTCCCAGGCACAAAGCTGTTTGACCTTTACTTCCGGTGTTACCGGAAGTGCAGTTAATAATTGAATATAACTTGATAATGGAAGCAACTTACTACAAACAAACAAATTATGGAAGTGCTTTATAGCTATGTCAAACACAAAAAAATAAACAATTTTAATCAAATTGTCACAATTTTACCAAATTGCACCTAGATATTCTTTACACAACCACAAATGACTTTACAAGGTTTCAGAAACATGACGACATCAGACCGGTGTTAATTGGGGGGAGAATTTGACAATTATCAGGCTGTTTTTTTTTTTAATTCAAATCCATCATTTGATCCGTGTTTAACGATTATGATCTTAGCACCAATAACGATATCCGGTAATGTACAAAACCCTGAAGAAACCTGTAGAGAGGTGACAATGAGAATAACTTTGTGGGGTGCTGTGGTCCAATGGTTACGGTGTTCGACTCGTGTACCGTGGTACATGGGTTCGAATCCTGACCGTGGGAACATGGTTCTTGTGCTCTTGAGCAAGGCACTTTACCATTATTGCTTCGTCCTTCGGATGGGACGTGAAGCCGTGGGTCCCGTGTGTTTGTGTAATGCACGTTAAAGAACACTTATCGCTAAGAGAAGGGGTTTGCCCCGGTGTTTCTGGCAGTGGCTGCAATATGCGCCGCAGCACCTTGTAAACCCTTATAAGGTGCTACATTATGGGTCTCATGTTTCTCATAAACTTTATTTACCTTTCTTTAATAATATACATAATTTCCAGCGCCTTGAGTACCTAATTGTTGGTAGATACGTGCGCTGTATAAGTTATTATTATTATTGTTATTATTATTATTATTTTAGAGGTGGGGGGGGGGGAGGGGAAATCCCAGGATATTCTGGGTAAAACCAAAACTGTAAAACCTATCCACATGTTTTCCGGGCAGGAATCGAATCGGGCGCCGGGCCATAGCAGTAGAACGCGAGGAAAGTAACCACTGCCAAAAAAAGGGAAAATGAAGACAAAAGTACAAAAGTACGGATCGTGAAGGCTCCAAGGACGAGACCGCTTCCTACGCTACTTATAGACAAAGCTGGGGCAAAAAATGGCATTGTCAGAATACTCAACCAAAGAGCAGTGAAATCAACCCGGAAAATTGGCTTTTGTTCAACTTTTCGACTCCAACTTATGATAACAGTCAGTTAATTATGTTTGGGTCAAAGTTCATGTTCCCGAAATCGACGTGGCGCTGCTGGCAACGATAGTTGTGCAGTCCCCCCCCCGGCTCGGCATCAAAGAAAAAATTAACAGAAACAAGTGACAAGTGTTCTTTTTTTCAAGGATAGCAGGCACCAGTCATACTTAAGTGCGCACAACACGGAAGCTCCGACTCGAAAAACAAGAACAATGCATCACGACATAAAAGTTTAAATGAATGGAATTCCTAGCGGCAGCACAGTTCAGTTCACACAACACCTACGTTAAATAGCACGAAGAAGTTTGGCCATATTTTTACAAGTTTTCTGTGGTCTGCTTCCGCAAATTAATACTTATCTGATTGATGTTTATCGTATGAGCCTTTATCTACAGGGTTTCCCAAAAGGTAACCAACAAACAAAGCGAATTGATCAAGCTTTGAACTTAATGACTATAACTATGGTTTCGTCTTGCATGTATGTTTAAAACTAGTGGCTGTAAGCTTTTGATTGATATCTTGGATGTTTTCCTATCATCATGCATCACTGAGATCCATTGTTTTAATTGAAAATGGTTAGTAGAAACTTTCTTGGGACATGTTTAGGTAAAACATACTGAAAACAACCAGACATAAGGCAATATAGCTTTAAGGGATATTTAAGAAAACATGAACAAAACAGGATTGTCATCAATGGGTGCATGATCATTTTTGTGCTGCAGTGCAAGTTACATTTCGGGAAGGACGCGTGAGGGGGGGGGGGACTGGAGAGGATATATTTCCAACTTTTTTTCACTGGGGAAATAGCCATTGCATCACCTTGTTGGGTTTTCCTTCAACCTTTCAACAGCCAAAACGTAAAACGGAGAGCATAAAGTATACAGAAGCTTAAACGTCAGCACTCAACTAGGCCCGGATTAAGTGTTTCGTAGGCCCTAGGCACCAGTGTTCCGAAGAATGGAGAAGGAAGGGGAAAGGAAGAGGGAATAAGAACAAAGTGGAGAATGTAAACAATAAACACCGCTGCTCAAAACTCCGGGAAGCTAAAATCCGTTTCTGAAACCCATGCCAAAAGATTGTACATTCTTACGGTCGTGTCGGCACAAGCTGCCGGGCGAAGTCGCTCCATATACGGGGGTTGACAGCTACAGCTGTGCATATAAAAAAAAAAAATACAAAAAAAAAAAATACAAAAATCCATTATAGGATTTAAAGACCCCCCCCCCTCCAGTCTGGGATCAGGGAACAAGCCTGAACAAGGAATGCGCAAAGGTACTGAGCATGTACGTGCAGTTTTGCGACAATGAAATAAAAACATTATAGCTGGAAGGAATTTTGTATTTTCGAGCAATTTTAAAAATTAATTTCGAACGATTACAGCACAAGCTCTCGGTATAACAAATTAATTATTCTTGCAATTGTCCTCCGATAGAAAATAAAGAAAATAAAACTTTGTTGCGATGGCCAAGTCTTCATTTGTTGACCATCTCTCACAATGCACTAGGAAAAATGAACTCTCCGTGGCAAACTCTTGGTGGCACATGAAACTCCCGAATTGCCGGGACACCACATAATACTGGGACGCTCTTTATGTATACTCGCGCTTACATTTTTAAAAGCTTTTGTACTTCTTTCTCGACATTCCAGCGCTATTGAATACATTTATTTCAGTGCTGGGACGTCCGGAAAATACCTCAAAATCCTCATTAACTTCTCAATAAAAAAGTGGGGGTTGATTCAATAGCCCATCCCCGCGGTCAAAAAGTGTGGGGTATATACCCCTTCCCCACCCCACCCCGGGAATTACGCCCCTGATGACGGCGCATGGAGCCAACGAGCCTGCCACGTCCACTCGCATGGTCTTTTTTTTTCGTGTCCGGGTTGCCATACGCCTTGACTCAAGTCTATGGTCATAAAAATACCTTTCAGATGAACCAAAGCAAATCCATATACCTTTGGCGACTGAACAATCTAAATCGGGGTCGTATTGTGTATAAGTACTGAACAAGCGAGTATAATTTTTACTAACACCTGCACATGTGATA